TAAATTACCGAAGAAAGCTGCATGTGTGCTAATACTTATAAAGTGAAAAGAAGCCATTCGGCCGATAAGGAATATCAATTACAGTAATGATAAAAAGTGCAAAGTGCGCTTTTCAAGACATGTCAGTTTTTGTTAGTGATAAACAGCACCATTGACTTTTAATCACGTGGTTACAATCCACCTGAGGATCGACAGTCGGGTGAGTGGGAGCAACTTTATTTAGTGACGTGTGCAGCGTATCCATACATTAGAAGCACGAACTGATAGAAAAATGTGCACATGCAGTATTTTTAGCGGCAGTCACCTGACTGTCGATTCTTACCCTGGTTGTAACCACGTAACCATAATATGTTTTATTTAACTATAAATGAAGTTTGCATCTGTATTGTCTTTCGTGCTTCGTGTATTATGTACACTTTGTACCTACAAGTTGGTACCCGTGAAGATTCCGGGGTAGAATAGGTCTTGCCGTAAAAGGTGACTATGCTTGTCGTAAAAGGCGACTAACGGGATCGGGTGGTCAGGCTCGCTGACTTGGTTGAATCATGTCATCGATCCCAAATGCGTGGATCGATGCTCATGATATTAATCACTGGATTGTCTGGTCCAGACTCGATTATTTACAGACCGCCGTCATATAGCTGGAAAATTGCTGAGTACGGCGTTAAACAACAAACCAACCAAACAACCTACAAGTTGGCGAACTATTCCGAATGTTTCCCGAACCGTAAGTCATGTGACGTGTATAGTCTGAGTAAATCTGTATATGTGTAGATAATACTCCAAAGTTCTTTAAATACTAATCACATCTGACAATGCAGACATTTCAACCATTACCAGACAGTGTACAAAAGTGATTACCAACGAATTCAATTGAAATTCCACAGCGGCAAAACTCAATCCCACCCTTCCAGAGCCTCACGATGTCACCTCTGCAAGAATATCTCGGACTCGACAAAGGTGACACATTACGTCACGCTGCGCAACGTTCATTAACAATTTGTAAGATTCCCTTTTAGCATTGCGCCGAGTACGTGAAGGACCTGGACAACAATTGATATATTGTGTTGAGATTGAGACTTTATCTAAACCTACCCCCATAAACACCAGTCACACATCTTATGTAATATTGAGAGGTTAATGACGAAATGTTTCATAATATCCCTTAGGGACAGATTATCATGGCGGTGCAACCTGTTTGACCGGTTACGTTGTGTTTGTCTTTCCATTGTTCTTCACCGTCACAGAATAATAAGACAGGGTTGGTCTAAAAGTTTTAAATAACAATAAAATGAAAATGATAAAAACATACGACAAAATTTGAAACTCTTAAGAACACGAAAAAAACCACGTAAAAATAAGTGAGTGTATGTCTTTCGCTGAAGTAAAATGACATGATTTGAAAACAATATGAATTTAGCTTTAAAACTATAAAGTCGCTAGGTATAACTCGGAGTATTACTGACTCACAAATCAATTCCCAGTTTAAAAACGTTTTACGTGTGAAGTATGTATTATAAATAAATGCAATGCAGGACATTGTTTCTAAATATTCTTAGCCGTCATACATGTTTCATTCCTTTAGTAATTGAAGCGCCAACCCGCTCTGACGAAAAACAGCAAAATCTATTGATTTTGTTTAGAATCCAGGAGTTCTTTCTGGTACATCCTTTAAACCTAACATGCCGACACGAATCGATGCTTTTATATTCATCCACCAGTACAAACACGTGCTTCTGTTTAACCTGAAATCTACATTTATTTATTCTTTTTGCGCATATTACTTCGATGCTGTTGGCCCTAGAACTCGTCCCTAATGATTTCTATAGAATTAAATGTATGGAATCTGCATGACGTCATCAATAGCGCCAACATTAACATCTTGCACTCATGTGCGAACTGCAAGTGCAATAATCCTGTCACTGACATTCTGGGACATGTGGAATTTTCCGCTCTTTTCGGCGCAGTAGAGTTAGTACCGCCAGCACTATTGTGAAACTAACTGTATGTGATTGTTAAATACATGTATTAGGAAATTAACGCTTGTAGAAGAGCAATGGAACGACGAGCACTGAGCAATCGATCCCGGCTATTTCTCAAGATATTGCGCAAGTTCAGTGAGAGCGGTAGAGGAGTGACGTGGTATAGCCTGTTTCGGATATATGTCACACCGCTGAGGTCATGCGTGTACGACTGTAGAAGCTGAGTGCTTGCCCGAAGAAGCGTTTCTTGGTGTGTGTGTGTGTGTGTGTGTGTGTGTGTGTGTGTGTGTAAATATATGTATATAAAATTATATTGATTCTAAATTCGGGGGGTAAACATATTTATATAAAATGATATTGATTCCAAATTCATTTTCGCCGCAACTACTCTGTATGTATGAGTTGGCCAGTGGCTGCATTGGGTGATCAAAATATATTGCAAAATAACCCCCTGAAATTCGGTGGGGGAAAGTGGGTTCTCGAGCCCCCTTTCGGGCCTTAAAAAGCGAGTGTATTGTTGTGGTCGAACCGAAAGTGGAATCACCCAATTCATGTCATACGTGTATTTATACATTTTTGATATATAGATAATGTTGTTCCCAGTAAAACACAAAAGACAATACATTTGTTAACAAGAAATAATTACTATTTCGGGTAGACATCACTTAGTATAGGCCATGTATTCATTGCACGCCACCAATAATACCCAAATACGCGAAATCTAAATAACTCAACAAATAATTTATATAATGTGGGTTTCAAGTTCCCGTTCTTTCATCATAGGCCATGATAAGTGTTCATATCTGGAACCAACGCGATGTTTCGTTGGTTTGTCTATATTCTCATCAAATATTGCGAGTTGGTTTGTGTAGCTGTACTGAAGCGCGGTGTTGTTGCTATTATTCTAAATATTCTGACAATTATAACTGAAATTTACGGTTGTATGGTATGACACATCATCTTTCCCTGGGTTTTTTTCTTACGCCCCCCCCCCCCCCCCCCCCCCCCACCACCCCACTGCATATGTTGCATGTAATAGTTGCATGGATTATTAGCTTCATCACTTTCCATGCGTCATACATCATTAAATAATTGTATTTAATATTCAATATTTATTCATCAATGGATTTATCAAACAGTTCTCAATCGCCAAGATATACGCAATATACACGGAGATGGCGCTATTAGTCTGTACGGTAGTTTTTCTTTTTTCCGTAAAAAAAGTTGATATTTTTACAACGTATCGGAAAGCGTTGTTACAACCTATTTTATCATCATTCCGGTGATTTTCATATTTTTTGCAATCGCATTCTTTAATGGAAATTACACATGTGTTCCTTCTAAGTGTTGAATGTCTTCTATTAAATTACAACTACTTATTAACCGTGGATTTTACGTAATGCCTTGATATAAATATTTCATATATTATATTTCCATTTTTCTTAATATTCGGTTGTATGAACTTTAATCAGTCTTAATATTATTATTAAAGGACCCCTGAAATGACATTGCTTAGAATACTATAATTAAAACCTGTTGAAAATGTATCTTAAAAACTTCAAAATTCAGTGAATTGTGACGAATCGCGAGAGGTAATAAAAAGAGGTATTTGAAATTTTATTTTTATTTGTTCGACCTACCGTCTACAATGTGCTAACCCAAAATCCATTAACAAAAGAGAGAAGAAAATAGTCTTGCGTTATGACGTTTATCATTATTGTGGACATCATAATATTGACATTATGTCGTTGTTTGTAAATGAAACATTAACAGATAACGACACAAAATAAATCGTGTAATTAAAAAATCCCAGTAAAACATTGGAATGCACTCATTATCCTTCGTTAATATCAAGGACTTGATTTGTCGATCTGGTTATATATAAATTGTCAATTAAAACGAATTCATTTCATACAAAAATACCTTGGGGTCCGTTTTAGTTACAATTTAAGTTCATGCTAGATATAATGATGACATCATGAAACACAGCGTAAAACTGCATTCCAAAATATTGTAGATCATATCTATAAAACCATTGCACTGAACATAAGTGTGTCTTTAGGTAGCACGGTATTCGCGCTCATTGTGAACAGCTAAACAGTAACACTATTCAGTCTTGTCTGGTATTCACATAAAGCTTTGTCTGGTATTCACATAAAGCTTCATTTTGAATAACAACTAAAGACATTGGTTTGTATAGGATTTTAAAACAAGTCTTTGGCCGTTGACGTCTTTTGTTTATCGGAGCGCTGTAAAATAATTTAAGAATTTTGGGCACCATGTAATAAATCTGTCCATTTGACGAGGTACATTTTACCAATTTTGAACAGTTTTAATGCCAGAACTTAATACATATTGCTTCTTCTGTATTTCTTCTGTATGCTCTGCTTACTTACTTACTTACTTTGGAGATTTAACGTGCGCTTTCCGACTGATGCGTATTTCGCACACGGGCCCGGCCAGGCCATTTAATGCGTTTCCGAAAGGGGCGAAGGTGGTCTGTGCAACCCAAGAGGGGGGTTTTAGGGGTTGCTTATATAGAATTTGGGAATTTTGAGATTTGGAATAGATGCCGATGGGATTGGGGAGGAGAACTAAGGGAGCTGGGTATGGTGGATGTTTGTTTGTTTATGTGATTTTGATTTGGTGAGTTATTGTGTTTTTAGATGCGTTTTATTAGTTCCGTTTTGATTAAGAATACGCCTAAGGCCTTGAAGTTTTCTAGTTTATTTTGTGGCTTTAGTATTGCTTCTAGAGTTAGTATGCTCTGACATTGTTCTTTGCTTTAATTGTGTGTAGGATATATACAATGCCTTTTAAATGTCTCTCAAAGAGGATATACAATGTACGATACATAACATTTAAACATCTCCAAAAATACAAAAATGTCCAACTGTGTCAATATTCCGCAACAATAGCAAATGGAATGTTTGCATTGGCTGAGGAATCCCAGGCGTTATGTAATGTTATCTTGAAATGGAATATAGGCGACGCGGGTTGTCTCCTCTTGATCACATAGGTGGCGTTATCCTTCGCGTCCATTTCCCCAAGGTCACAGACAGGGCATTGGAGTAGGTTTGCGGTTGGGAGCAAGGGCCGTATTTTGTTCGTGTGCTTATTCGAGGATCCTAATTCAACCTGCAACCATGAAAATATCTGTATTTCTCCCAACAGTTACACTACTGTTGATGTTCCTGATTGAGGAAGGTAAATATGACAAAATAACCCGGGCAAGTAATCGCCTCGTGAAGCCGATTCCATTCCAAAATGGCTTCTGCATTCTTGAAGCTCTTTCCCATGTAATGGTTCTTTAGTATTTGTAGGCGATCGCTTAATAATTTAAGCGCTGAGACAAGCAATTGAATGTTATGATGTATGTTAAGTTTGAATGCTGTTTCCTTTGTGGTATTAGATAAATGTGCCTCGTACATGTCCGGTCCCGAATGAAATAAACCGGTTCCATTGAACACTGTGGAGGTGCAAACTGGAATACATATATATGGTATTATTTTATTGCTTATGCAAGTGTGGTCACTAGAGACGATTCAGAAAGGTTGTGCTCAGTGCTCAAGAAAAAGTGTCTCTTTGTTGCTATTGAAATGGGACCACACGCTCATTTGGGTACAGAAGATAGTAACTGTACGTTATGCATGTTCTATACGATCCTCCCTAGCGAAGATACCGTTTCTTTTAAAACTGAAGATATGAAGTACATTGTTGTAGCCTATCCCTATTTCTTCTATGGATTGATAAAAAATAGTTTTAAAGCAAGGGAGATGTTGGATTTATACGAGAACGCATTCATTTTTTTAGATCTCAAGACTGTCAGCATAACATTATGTAGCCTATGTGTGATTAAAATCTTCCTACATTTTGCATTTGTTAAAACAAACCTTATGCTCAACTTGTATCACTATTCAAAACAGTGTTTAGCCTATGTAACAACTCACATTTGTTTCACCTTTTATTAGGGTGTTTAGGGTTTCAGATTCACAACAAATCTAGGTGCATTTTGTTCAAACGTTGTCTTGGTCTGGTTTTTCAGAAACAGTAGATAGTAACAAAACCTGTCTGATAATAGTATGGTTCAAGTGTTCTTGTCAGTTGTCATTTTTTAAATATGCCATTTAGACAAGTGGTAATTTCTATATTATTACATAGGTCACCGTGGGTGTACCTTCATGTTAAAAGATTGTTTGCTAACAGATGTTGTTACTACTTACCATGCATGGCTTTACTTGTCACAACCCATGATGTGCAATCAATTGCTGCTAAAACTAACAGCTTCAACAGCATTGAATTATTGCCATTGTGAGTTAATTACAGATGCACAGATAGTGGTGTTTTTATTACCCTTTGCAGCAGTAGAAACTAATATTTTTAGTCAACAAGTCCTCATAGCAAAAGCCTTAAAAAGGGCAAATTTCTGCTAGTCATTGTGATACTTAAACTATTGGACAGATTGACAAGGACTACATTACTGGTGCCAATTTCCAATGCTTCTTTGGCTATTGTTTATGATAGCAAAATCATGTAAGATGCTGTACCAACAGGGCTTTAGTTTCAAACACGTTTAAGTTACTCTGTCTTACTAATATTGTTTGGACATTGATGTAGTCTCTAAATTGAAGGTATCAAAGCTAAAAACATGGACCAAATGTCTTCAATTTCTAAAATTGTAACAATTGCATTGGAAGTGGAGAATGTTTGGAATGTCCGATACCATCCTTAGGTTAAAGTACCACAGTCCGTGAGGTCACAAGATGACAAAACTAAAGCTGATCTTGATCTGCACTATTACAAAACAGATTTGCTGAGGTAGGAAAGCAGCTCATCCACTAGGAGTTATGTCCGTCCCCGAATAACTGAGCCAGGCAGTATGTAGGGCATGTCACTTTCCTCAGGTGAGACAGGCGCTGTCCATGTGAGAGGGGTAGCTCACAGGACACTTAGAGGTCACTGCTTTTATTGCTCTGACCTATTTCCTTCTATCATTTGTCAGGGCATATTCTTGACAGACGGAACAGCTTTCTTTTCGATTAAATAAATGTGTATGCCTTTGTATAACATACATATTTTTTTGTGAAATGTTGGGTTGTAAGGGTGAAAAGAAATCTAACTTGTGTAGGGTAGATAATAGATCATTCCTTTGTGTAACAGAGGCAATGTAGTAGGCATACACACAATCACACAATTGGTATACAGAAACATACATGTAACATTTAGAGCATATTTTCATAAGATACGGGAAATACATTTTCATGCTTTCCTTACCTGTTGACACATTATTGATTATTATTTGTATCATGTTTTTCACAATTTATCAGATAGTGGTGATCGCCCTTGCCAGTATATCAGCTAGTATTCTTCTTGTGATAATTGTTGTCAGGACTTACGAATAACATTAAACATAACTGAAATTGTGGATGTCTTTGATCATATTCAGTTTTGTCACTTAGATAACACTTATATTTTTCGATAAACAGATTCTACCAACGAAATCCACAAATAGAAATAATGCAGAATCTGTGTAAATATAATTTTTGTCTCGACTACTTCATATTTTACTAGAAAATACAACTAAAACAATGAAAATAATACAAAATTAAAGTAAATTATTACTTTTTAAGTAAAACTTGAATCGAATGCATCATCATATGTAGTCTCTGGACACTACAAACATTATAATAAGGGAACAAAGCCTTTCATAAGTAAAAACATACCCAACCAGTGTTAAATGAATAGGGTCTCTTTGAGATTGGCTGCCAAAGATTGCAATGCATAGTATTTGAATCTAGTTAAACCCTGATGAAATATAAGTGTCAAAAGCATATGCCGCTTGATTTTGATACTTAATCTCAGAGACTGCACATTTCTGTAAGAATGCTAAACACCCTGTGCCTCATACATACTTCCCCAAAACATAAAACCCAAAAGTGAGTCCTCAATATTCTATGCTGTAATGCTTCAGTTTTCCAGTGTGAAACTTGTCATTATGGGTGGCATTTGAACCTTAAGCACTTGATGTTACTGAGTGATTATGTCTCACATTCTTATAAGAATATTTCTCTTGATGTACCATGCAAAACTTCAAACTGTTTTAGGTCTACAGGAATCTCAACTTTGGCATATCATGATTGTAATGATGTGCACTGTATCCTATTCTGCACTCTTTATGCAGCATTAGAAATTGGCACTAGTCATGTAGTCCTTGCTAAACCGATGTGTTTATGCCATGTACATTTTACAATTTGTGTTTCAGGATTGGGTCTTAAATGCCATGTATGCAATTCCTTCTTAACGCCAAGCTGTGGCGGGACACTGACTATGGAATCAGACACCTTAGTCACCTGTACCAATGGAACTGCGTGTCGTAAGATTGAACAAGAAGGTAAGTTTAATTCTTTATTAGCTGTATGAATGTAGTTTGCTTTGTGAATGTTGTGGAAGACGATTATATTCCAAATCATGTAATTAATCGTTTATTCATCAATTAGTCATTAATTGTCCTTTTCTTGATGTTGACAGTGTACTACAGCGAGCAATATGATACCCGTATCATCCGTCAATGCGGCCATGAGGAGGACCCACCCTTGACCTGTATCTCTCGTACTGGAACCTATCGCTACAAAGTGCAATACTGTCACTGCAATGAGGATGGGTGCAACAGCGCAGTTACTTCGGCCATCTCTGTGACCCTGTTGTCTCTTGCTCTTGGACTCACACATTTTGCTAGGAAGCATTTATGAGTGACAGACATTAAACAGGTTTCTTTCTTCCTGAATTACCAAACTCTCTTCAATATGTGAACAGAAGTCTTTTTCTATGCACTTTGTTTCACAATGGCTTCAGATTGGCATTAGAAATATATTCCAGTGACATTTGGATTTGTTAAGTTTAAGGTCCATTGATGTATTAGGCAAAACCACCAACTTAGCACATGGGCCACGAAAAAAAACCACTGGTTCTAAATTTCAATGTTAATCAAAATTATAGGTTTGTTAGACTCAGTTTCTTCATAAAATTCAGTGTTGGCCCTTTGAAGACCATATGTTATTAAGTTCTGATTGGTCCTGAAAAAGTGGCATTATTCTGAATTGCCTTCGGTGTCATTTATGGATGAATCAAACATACTTCATACTTTTTTGACACAGTTTAACCGTTATATTGAACTCATTCTTTAGAAAATCACATTAAAGAATTGTCGTTCTTTTGAGCAATTAAGTCCATCCACCATTATGATTTTGATATCATCCTAGATTGTTTCTAAACTGTTGACGTATTTCAGTTGCAAGATATTGCCCTCATGGGTGGTTTGAGGATTTTTACATAACAGTATAGAAACAAGATAGGCTGCATGTGACCCGAGAATTGTATGCTAGGAAATGAAGTTTAATGTTACTTTGAATATTCAGTGAATGCATATATAATTGCATTGTAATTTCCATTGTTTGTGTGAATGAAATGGGCATTGCCTGGATGTGATGTCTTGTGTATGTTTCACATTCCCGGAGAGGAAATACCGACCAGATTATGGACTAAGGCATTGTCTGTCAAAATGAATCTAAACATTCAAAAACAATTTCTTGAAATCTATATCTCTGTTTGATTCTATAGATAAAATTAATGTAAATCAAGATGTAAAAAATGCTGACTGTCAAATATATTGTTTGAAGTAAAGATCTCCCATTACATGAATAAGCATTTCGTTCTTAATACTCAAACTTTTCATCAGCACAATAGTATACTGGAACATTACTACAACATTATCACAGTGTCTTGAATTATGGAAAGGATGAGATTTTATTTTCTTCATATCATGTAAATATTTGTCTATTGTTAGAACGTTTGCTAGGGTATCGACAGTGATTGTAATCCAGAAGTATGTGATCAATGCTTGAAGATTATCATTTAACCAAGATGTTTTTGCACTGTGATTTGAAAGAATTTACATGTATTTTACCATTTGTCACAATCAGACTTCTCACAGAACCACCTGTATGATTCCTAATAAGTACCAAGCATTTAATTATGGTGTGTATCAGTGTATAGGTATGTGAAAATGCTCATGTTGTTCGTACACCACTGTTCATATTACGATTTATTCCTAAGAAAGATGTTTATACTTTTCAGTTATTTAATACACTTTGGAATGAATAGTGTCAGACCTAGCATGTTATCATCAGAGCATGCTAACATTGGCTTTAAAAGACTGTTTTGTACAAGGATTTAAGGGCGGTTCCTATGTAATATATTGTTACTTTTCTTAAAGAGTTTATGTAGTTTATTTTCATGTTGAAGATTTTATTCGCTATCCTAAATATTACATATTGTCGCTTCTTCTTTTGAAAAAAATAGTGCCATTTGTAGCAATATATATTTGAAATAGACAGTTTTGTATGGAAGTTAATTTTCAAAATGTATAGTGTGAGTAGACACCTACTGGAAAAGAAACATATATCCCTGAAACTAATTGTAGCATTTGGAAGGCCAGTTTTAACTGAGACATGAATGTTTTTCCTCACCAGCTTCTGAGGAGCTCCTCATCACGCTATTTACTTCACCATGTTGTAGGGTTACCACCAGCTCATTCTCTACCACACATTGCATGTTTTAGGGAGGTCAAATTTGACATGAAATTAATAGACTGACAAGTAATAATAATGGGTTTTGTGGACATGTATAAACTCCTGTCAGTAGTTTCAGGTAGTTTCAGGTCAATTTTGACAATTTGAAAATTTGGAGGACAATCAATCTTGTGTAACAATTGGAATATGGTCATAATATTGTATGATATTGTATATAGATATTCCTGAGCTTATGTAGGGGTATGTATTCAGAGCTTTAGTCTGTTATTCATGTAAATTTGAAATCTTTATTGTTTTATCAGACGGTTTTAATTTTACTGGCTTATTGTAATTGGTTTTAGCCTGTGATCATCTGGTATGGAATGAGCTGGTATAGTTCAATAGAATACAAGAAGGCCTTCTATTGAGGCAGGTATGAACTTGTGTTCTGAGTGAATGTTCATGTAATTTTTTTCAAATAAACAGATGATAGTGATGATTGTTTCGTTTTCATCTTGTATACTTTCAAAGGTAGTATTTACCTTTCTTTGAGGTAGCATGGTGCTTTGTTTTGCTTAACACCACACTCGGCAGTGTTCCAGCTAAATGACAAAGGTCTGTAAGTAGTGAAGTCTGGACCAGGTAATCCAGTGATTGACGTCATGAGCATCTGTCTACACAATTGCGATATGATGACATGCATCAACCAAGTCAGCAAGCTTAACCACATGTTCATTGCCTATTACGACAAGCAGGGCCGGTCAGGTAGCCTAGTGGTTAAAGTGTCCGCTCGTCACTCTGAAGACCCGGGTTTGATTCCCTCATGGGTACAATGTGTGAGGCCCATTTGTGGTTTCCCCTGTCGTGATATTGCTGAAAGCGGCCTAAAACCATACTCACTTTTACGACAAGCATGGTCTGTATTTATGGGAATTCTAAATCTTTAGCCGAGGGACATCGACTGTTGCTGTAAGCATTGGAAGTTTAAGTGGTAACTGCCCCAGTCTACTTCACTACTTGATAACCCTCGGACCACAACCGGACAGCGACACAGGTTAGAACTAGAAAGGAAAGGTTGTGAAATAGAAGAAAATGTTAACAGTACATAAATATTTTATGTAGCTAAGTAGATGTTTCCCTGGTTCTGTTAACAATCTTTGAAACCCAATCTTGTGAGCTTGTCATCGGTTGGTCAGTGAATTGCAAATACGTTTAATGAGGAGATGACAATTCGCAGTGTAATTGCCGTTCCTCTCACAAAGATGGACCTAGTTACTCAAGTCTTCGCCGTGACTCATGTAAGCTGTCTTGGTATAAAGGACGTTACCTCCAGCTAGGGCTGGAGGCAAAACCATTGAGGCATAGCGGACACGCCAATGTCACAGATGACAGAGCCGGAGGCACTTGTACTTGACAGGAAAGGATATGCCTGGTTTGGGAGACTAGTATATTGTATACAAATTATGTCGCCTGAATATTCCCAAACAGGTTTTGGGTTTTTAAAGCAGGGATATCAGTGGAAAACAGTTCGACAGGTTTTAGGCTGCGCATGCTTCTTGTGTTTTTGGTTGTTTTACGCTACGGTCAGCGACATTCAGCTATGTCACTACAACCTGTAAACAATTGTGCGTGGACCACACTCGCCATAACTGATCTGAACAACTCCACACACCATCAAGGTAGTGACAAAATCAACCCAACCTGACCACCATCCATTTACTCAGACAAGCATAGGTTGTCGAGGACCTATCAAGATATTCTAACCCGGAATGTCCATATATTACTCGCTCGTGAAGAGATCACCCGTTTAATAAACATACAGCTAGCTCTATTACACACTTGAAATACCAAAACACGTGGTTATGTACTGCGGGAACGCGTTCCACTAGCAAACATTGAAAAGTCACAGCCAGCCTCTCTGGGCTAATTCAACGGCATGGGTGAGTGAGCGTATTATCAAACTTAAACAGTCGTTTCTTAACCGAAATGCCCATTATACATTTCACCAATGTGGGGGATCTAACCCGGGTCTTCGGCTTGATGAATAAAGGTTTGACTCCCCGGGTGACACTATCCACCAATGATTACATTTCCTGCTATTTGGAGGTATCTAGTTGTGCTATATCTGGTTTCATTCTTATAAAATGGTGATATTTGGTTTTACGTAATTTTTAAGCAATATCACGGCGAGGAACACCAGAAATGGGCTTCACACATTGTATCCATGTCGGGAATGGAACCCGGGTCTTCGGCGTGACGAGCGAACGCTTTAACCACAAGGCTACCCGACCGACCCTAGTTGATTAAGGACGTGATAGGGCAAGACCGACTTACTTACAGAGTCTCTGATATACTGACAGAAAAACGGAAGTTAAGAAAATGACAAAGTGTAACACATTGAAAAAAATAATACATACGATTCATAGTTTCAAATAGATTTTTTAACAAAATTTTAAACACAGTGAAATATATAAGTACGTGTGTATTCTATCATGCATTGAGTTCATGTAAAAGAAACAGTGGACATTTTTCTAGTCTAGTCCAAATGTAACCTAGGTGACATACTGTGTAAACAATAAATATGATTACGATAAATAAAATATGAATGACATGCGTGAGAAACGTCAGAAAACGGGTTTTTTCCAGTGTCTTAATGAACAGCTTTTGGAGTGAAATGTAAGCACACTATTTAATATTAAAGTTAATCAATATTTCATTTACTTACACATTTTTTAAATATTCTGACAGTGGATATTAAACTGAATTAAGTTTGGGAAGCCACATACATCATCAGACATAATCTCAATTGGAAACCCGGAGCTGTCATTTGAGCCGTTAACTGAATGTAAACAAACGCACGTGTGTAGATTTGAATCTCTTATCGTGCATTGCCTCTCTGTACAACTACAATTCATACAATACAATTCTGTCATCCCTGTAATGTGATATATTAAAATGACGATATACATTTTCCAAGATTAGTTAAATGATTGCCGTAATTGATTTACTTACTCTCGATTATTGTTATCATACCCCAATGTTAACGCGCATTAGCATTGATCGATATGGGGTCGAGTCGTCTTTCAAGTTACGGAAAGTGGCGAGTCATGACGAATGCGGGTTATCCCGGAATTGCACGAGTTAACAATCGTCATCACTCGCATCTTTCCGTAAGCTACAAGCAGGCACGACTTGGTCACGAATGATGGTGGCATTCACAGTTTTAACCCTTCGACCCTATGGTGTTTGCACAATAAGCTCTCCATAGTGGTATAATGAGCATACTTTCACTGCTGATAGACTCGGGCCTCTATATAAATCAATAGACAGATGTCTAGTCTAAGCAAAAGCGTTGCGCGTTCAATTCGTTTGGTACAAAAGGCATGCTTGCAATGAATTGCAGTAATTTAAAAAATAATTGACATAATAAAATTTAACCGATGCGAAGGACATTTCTTCACCGCTGTACCAATATATGACCCGTGAAGATCCGGGGTAGAATAGGTATTCAGCAACCCACATGCATGCTTGCCCTAAAAGGCGATTATGCTTGTCGTAAAAGGCGACTAACGCGATCGGGTGGTCAGGCTCGCTAACTTGCATGTCATCGATCCCAATTGCGTGGATCGATGCTCATGCTATCAATCACTGGATTGTCTGGTCCAGACTCGATTATTCACAGACCGCCGTCATATAGCTGGAATATTGGTGAGTGCGGCGTAAAACAACAAACCAACCAACACATCATTTAACGTGGATAAATTGCCTGACTTAATAAAACATTTTCCTACCAAGCATTATAGCTATCATTGTATACACATTGTGACCTTTCATCAATTACGACCTTTGACGGACATAAATGCCCCCTGCGGGTTTGTAGAGTTAGAACCATGAGTACATATTTAGAGGATATTATAAAGGGAATCTCACCCGAGTGTCTTTTGATATCAAATATATCAACACGAGTTGATAAAAGTGGAAAAACTCCGAGGCTTGCCGAGGGTTTTTTCCACTTTTATCAACTCGTGTCGATATATTTGATATCAAAAGACACGAGGGTGAGATTTTATTTGTCATCCAACATCATTCTTCCAACTTTTTCAGTTTGTAGACAGTAATAAGCAGTGCCTTAAGTGTTAAAAGTACCGCTAACAGCTTCAGTAGCAGAGCCATTAGTGATGTCATTTGATTGTGACGTCATGGTAACCAATGACGTCACAATGGTCTGGAAAGTACAGTGTAGATATCGCTTGATCTCACCCAGGCGATATCTCCCGTGGGAGCAATTTTTGATGATAAATGAGTGTTATTGTTATACTCTGTCGCTCGGGAATAACCGGAATTTAGACATTAACACTCATATTATCCTCTAAATATGTACTCACAATTCCAATTCTACAAACACATATGGGGGTGGATGTGTGGCTGCCAAAGGCCGTTAATGGAGAGTGTCTAAATTTCGGTATTTACACGCACGCACGCGCGCACGCTCACACAAACACGACGATTTGGTGGGCTCAAAGCTCAACGATTGGGTGGACACAGATATCTCCATTCGTCTGGAAAGGCGATTTATTATCAACAGACAATCGAGTGACCCCTTTTTCTCTCGATAAAGATTCGGGCGAATCTGTGATGATATGGTGTCTTTCTATTTATGATCTATATATATACAAAGTATTATCATTTATGTTATTTCAACTATGTTAATTTATTTCCAAACATCCAAACTTGATACACTACACCCAAATTAACTCAAGGACCTAAATATTTCAAAAATGTTTTGGGAATGCTCCTACAGATTCTATTGTTAGATTTGGGCATCCAAAAATATCTTATGAGATTGCTATCGGCTGTATGGTATCTACTTCAGTGTTGAGTTCTTGCATAAGAGGCCTATGTTCTTGTCATTCAAACGTCCCCTGCAGTCGATGTATATAGAGCGAGGCAGTGTATCATACCGAGTGGAGAGTACATGACACATTTACTGCCGCCAAGTCGTTCACAGGCCGCGAGGCATACTTGACTGCTACATTGTCAACCAAACATACACCGTGATCCCTCTTACAACGACCAGCGCCATCTGTGTATAGGTTTAACTATACACCGTATCATCTACGTGCTTGGTGTTTGCGCGTAATGAATTTCGTGTGTGGTTAACATGTGTCTTGCCTATATATGCATATTGTTTAGTTTCAGTAAGTAATCTTGCACATGTGTACCATATGTTAAGCCCATTTGTGTGACTATCCGCCACAATAGCTTCGTGCTGTGTCCAATATCAATAGGGGTTGGGTGGGCAAGTGACTGAAGCAGTCGCTCGTAACACGGAAGACCGGTTCGATTCCCGACATGGGTACAATGTGTGAAACCCATTTCTGGTGTACCCCGCCGTGATATTGCTGGAATATTGCTAAACGCAGTCTAAAACTATACTCACTCGGTAAGTTAATAAATTATGTGAATGATTTTATCGACGCAGTCAGTAATATTCAAGCT